AACAATAATGTCACAAATGATTACTTAAACATACTACAATAAGTTTTTAATTGGTTATGAAACAGTTTCCATTTAATACTGATTCCTTTATATGACCTACATAAACAAACAAGACCATCAGCGAGGCCCTTTCTATATAGTTGTTATTAATGCCTGCCACCGGGTCGGAGTGCTGTTCAGATTCCTCTTGAAATGAATGGAAACATTACCAATCAACACAAAAAGTTTAAACTACTTGTTTTCTCTATCTTGTATCTTTTTGTAGTGTTTAAATTAATATTATATAATGAATTGTATATTTTTACTCAATGTTACTTGATATCATTGTAAATGAGGGCCAGCCAGAGTTTTAACAGGTATATATAAAATAATGATGTAGGAAAAATATCTTGCACATATAACGCTGCCTCTGATACCAGATTATCTAGTTAAGAGAAATGCCTGAAATACTTGATAATTATTACCATTTAAAAAAAGGTTTGTAAATCAAAAGAAAGTTAAAAATAGTTAAAAAAAAAAAATGTTATTGTTACGACTACATAGCACAAGCCTTACATATCTTCTGTCACAGTCAGGTGACCGAGCTTACCTCCCGGCTTCATTCAGCGGAGGAGAGGAGCCGGGCGGAGAGGGAAGAGCTCAGAGATCAGCTTCATCATCTCAGTACTGAAAATGCCTCCACCGAGCTGGAAAACCAAAGACTCAAGGTACCTTCAGAGAAATCGACAGCAGATATGAAATATCCCACGACTTCAAATCAGCTCCATAAACATTTATTAAATCAAAAGCACCTCATTCGTCACATAATGCTATTAACATTTAGTTTATAGAGTTACATGTGAGTATTTATGGAAGACAAGTGTTCTCTCCATTATGATAGCTGACAAGTATAAGAAGTATTTCAATTGCATTTATTATAAACATACATTATATTTAGGGTCAGTTGATGTCATCTGAGGAGAAGCTCGGAGGTCTGCAGTCCGAGGCCCGTCGGCTGAAATTGTCGATCAAAAAACACGAAAACCTGGTGGAGAAATACAAGAAAAAGGTACAGTCACTCAAACCTGCAAACAAATGTCAAATAACACTGATCACATTTCTACTAAACTATTTGCTTTTCTAAATGCTGTTGCAAAGGGGATGTAGAGACTTTTTAATGAGTTTTGGCAGTTTTCTTACTGAAATGGGGTCAGTTCACAAAAAACAAATGTACGCTTTTGTGATGTCAGGCCATGCATGGCTACATGATAGAATAGATGAATGAGATTTTCTTGGATCTGGTTGAAAGTCTTTACTCTAGAAAAGCAGAACCTCTTCATTGAAACGCTTCATATACCCAGAAGTGTTCGCCGTGTCTACTCTACTGTAGTGACGTCAGACTTCTCTGTGCAGGTCCAGCAGGCTCGTCTGGATTCAGAGGACTGCTGCCTGAAGCTGGAGAAGACACAAAAGGAGGCACGGGAGGTGAAGGTGAGCCTGGAGAGGGAGAAGGAGCAGGTGAGGTGGGAGCTGCTGGGCCGGCTCAGAGAGCTCGAGTCACTGCCCGACAAACTGAGGAGGACCGAACAACAGCTCAGAGACCTACAACAGGAGGCCGACACCCACGAGAGGAAGAACAGGGAGCACAACTCTGCCCTTTCTGAAGTCAGGCATAAGGTTCTTAATTTAACCTATATAAGAAGAAGAGACATGTCTCTAGTGCCGATTAAATGTAACAGTTATGGCTACAGGTGTACATCGAAGGAGAATCACAGTTTTAATATGCATGCTGCAGATTTTGTCTTTAAAAGTTACATTTGACTTTCTTCTCAGCTACCATCTGTCGCAAGTAACAGTCTCGCAAGCTACCTAATTAAGATCAACTAAATAGTTAATTGGTTGTAAGAATGCAAGATGAATTTCTTCTTTTTTTCTTTTTTCTATGGTTTGGGATATTTTGCCTTCATTTGAAAGCACACGATATAGAAAGGGGGGGGGGCAACAAATCTGGACTTGAACTGGGGACGTTGCTATTATAGGGTCGGTGATTTACACCCTCAGGCCAACAGGATGACCCATGGAGGTGGATGCCTATCATGGATATCTATCCTTCCTCTGCAGGTGGAACAACAAGGCACTCAGCTGGAGATGTTTCAGCAGAGGAACCTGCTGCTACAGGAGGAGAACAGCGTTCTCAAAGAGAAAATTCACAACTTAGAGAGGTACAGATACTAATAAATAATAATATAATAATAATAAATATATACACTTTTAAGATGAAAGTATCACCAT